TAATAATAAGCAATTTATTTTTGGTTAGAGACTCATTAACTATAGTTTATAAGTCTCTCGGATTAAGTGTCAGATTATAATTGTATGTTTAAATTCTCCAATTTTCTGGTTCGGGGCAACCGGTGCTCAAAATCACACAAATCAGGCACACGTAGCTCGCGGGCGACCGGTGTGGACATACGCCTGTCCACAGACCATGATTGCTCACCAATAGTCTCAATCTTACCCGAACTCATTAGTCTAAAGTGGTTACGGGGGTTATGCACCTCCACCTCGGTATCATCCAGCGATATCTCATCAAACTGATCTTGGTGATAATTGTAATCACCCTGACTGTAAGGTGGGGCGGGACCCATACTATCCCTGCCAGTGTAGGCTGGGTTCAGAACTATGGGAACGGGATTATCGATGCGAAACACCTTTTCCTTGCCAAACTTGTTGAACAATTTAGTCCGTTCCCGGCACCGGCAGATCAGGCATGTTATCATCAGCAATAGCATGACTATCACCGAACCTCCAGTCGCTAATATCCAGGTATAATCATAATATGAGCAGTTACTCGGAACCCATACACACTTGTGGCCATTGGTTGAGTCCTCGTAATAGCGGGTTATTTGTGAACAGACACACTCTCCCCGGCCATTGCACTCCCGGCCCAAGTCGTAGGGTTGGCTATCGTCCCAACAATCGGTGTCATTATTGCACCGAAAATATTGACATTTTTTGGTTAAGTTGTCGTATCGGAAATTAACGGCACAAATGCACAGTCCGTTTACACACCGACGGTGACTGTCCTCATCACTCATACAGTCGTCATAGTTATGGCATGTAGTGTATGGTGTAGTGGTATTGGACAGGGAGGTAGGAGTTGTTGTAATGTTAGAGTTATTAGATGAACTAGGGGTTGTTGAAGTAGGCGTTACATAATTTATTGAGAATAGTATAAAACACAAAGTAATCATGGTCAAGCGTTGGATTAACATGGTTGTTTGGTTATGATAACAACTTTAGGATTAAGTAATTGAATAATAAATATGAAAATATTTTTAACTTCACAAGTAAATAATAAGTGTTAAATATCATTAATTGTTTGCATTATTGAATATACGTCTAGTTTACAGTGAAAATGTCATTAAAATTATATTTCATGAAACACCTGTACTTAATGTCAAAACTTTTTACAAAACGCATTTCAGAGTAGATATGGCCTGGGTTAATTAAATCTATTCAAATTTTCTTTATTTAATTAGATTTATTGTTTAATACAATGATCTAGTTAATAAAATATTTGTTAAATAATTTTATAGTTTACTTACTATTTAAATATTATTATTTATAAATAATAGAAAGATTAATTGAGACAGTTTAATAAAACACCTTGGTTGCAAACTTTTAAAATAAATAATTGCTTTTAGGTTTCATTGTTTACTGCATGGATACTATCATAAGTTATTGTTCCTTGGATACATTTAATGTAATAATTACATATTAATTGCAGTATTTTTCCGTTATTTTATTGTATTATGTTGAACTCAATTTTTGTTTTATAAAAAGTCTAAAATATTTTTTGTATTTTTTATACTATTTTCTCAATTAATAAAATTAAATATTTACAATGTAATTTATAATTTTGTTTAAATTTTTATATTACCTGTAATTTAAGTTAATATATTTATTTTATCAGGCTCGCATATGACTAAATCCACACAATAATATTGAATACTGATTACTTAGGTATTAAATAAATTATTAAAAGTATTACAGTTTTTCTAAAACTACACACTAGTCTCACGTTTACCCAGTTTATCGTGAGCTATATTATCAATAAGGCGGACATTATCTAACCAAACGGCTGCCAACCGCCTGTCCCACCGGTCGCACACGTAATCCACTTTAAACCCCAAATCGGTTAACCTTTCAAAGGCGTCGTCTACTGTCAGGCTATCCCTTAAAATAACCGGTAGTTTAGCAGCTTTTACACGACTTTCCTCAGACAACCGATTATTTCTAGAGCTCAAGGCTAACCCATTGTCAGCCCTAATGGTAGGACAGCCTACTATAGTGACCGGTAGAAATAGAGCCTTGGCCATTTTCTCAATCAACATCAACTGCTGGTAATCCTTTTCTCCATAATACGAATGTGTGGGTCGTATGACATTCAAGTGCTTCAACACAATGGTCAACATACCGGTGAAGTGTCCGAGCCTATGCTCACCCTCCAGGTGCGCCCCTATCTCGCCGGTCTCCAGCACCTGTATCTGGTAGTTATCCGGGTACATGTCCTCGTACGTAGGTATGAACAGGTAGTCCACCTTCTGCTGGTGTAGGAGCTGTTTGTCCTGTTCGAGTGTGCGCGGGTAGTATCGGTAGTCATCCGGGTTATTGAATTGTGTCTGATTCACAAATATGGCCACAACTGTCACCTCATTGTCCTTTTGCGAGCGTTGACACAGACTGATGTGACCAGGGTGCAGGTTGCCCATCGTGTGCACCAGGCCTATGCTTTTGTGGGCTAAGGTTTTGCGGATCTCTTGCCATTGGGAGCATTCAGTCACGATTATCATGGTTGTTTTTATTGTGAGTAATATTTTACTAGACAAATTACAAAGGGTTAATAGCTATAAATAATAACTTTTGAATCTTATCGAGATTAATTTCTACTTACAGTTTTTATGGTGTGTATGAATTTGGAAATGTAGTAAGATTAAATAATTTAGAAAGTTAATAATCCAAAAGGTGATTTATTTGTTAGAATAGTTATTTTTATAACAAACAATATTCACAATATTTGCGATATAAATACAATGTAAAACCTCTCAACGGTACCGGTGCTTGAATACATGTGCTAAGAAACAAACATCCTTATCATTGTATGCATGTGTCAAGTCTTGGATAGTCTTGGAAACCCTTATCTTATCAAAAGTGTTGAATTGTTTGCAAAGTTGTATTCAATACAGGGTTTTGTATTCAAGTTTAAGGTTTTATTTACTGTTTTGTGTTTCATTCAGTTTATACAACAAAATTAGTTTTTCATAAACACGATGTCAAGGTATTGATCAATGTTAATATAATTTGGTGAAATTAACAAAATAAAATAAGCTTATTAAA